TCCCTCTCTAATTAAGTTTTAGCACCTAAAATCACGCTGCTCCTAGTCAATTAAGTTGTTAAATTTAATTTATATGATAGTGAGTTTGATTTTATAAATTTAGTATAGTAAATGAAAATAGTTAAATAGATTAGCGTAAAGATAAAAAGGCATTGCAGCACTATATATGTTATTTGGTATGCATAACCCGTAAGCACTTGTTAAAATGAATTCCTTCCTTTTGATTATCGTGTTTGTTCATCTTAGTTGGATTTCTCTAAGTCTGAGCGCAGAGACAGTGTGTATTGAAAGTGAGAGAGAGACACTGTTGAAGTTGAAGCATTATCTCATTGATCCTTCAAATAGACTTTTTTCTTGGAATGCTTCTCTCAATCCCAATTGTTGCCATTGGTATGGAGTTCTCTGCAACAACGTCACATCTCATGTTGCAGAGCTTCACCTCACCACTCCTCTTCCGCTTTACATTGAAATCCTAGGTGATAATGTTTTAGAAGAAGCATTGGAAAAGTATGAAGAAGTTTATGATGACGAAGAAGTTGATGAAGAAGCATACAAAGAGTACAGTAAAAGGGCATTCCGTGGAGAGATAAATCTTTGTTTGGTTGATTTGAAGCATTTGAATTACTTGGATTTCAGCGGCAATCTATTTGGTAGGAAGCCAATTCCTTCTTTCATTGCAACAATGACTTCCTTAACTCACCTCAACCTTTCCCGTGCTGGATTCATGGGGAACATTCCTCTTCAGATTGGAAATCTCTCCAATTTGCTATATCTTGATTTAAGTTATGCTGCCAACGGAGCAATTCCTTCCCAGATAGGAAATCTCTCCAACTTGCTCCACCTCGACCTCAGAGGATATTATTATGAATATCTATTTCATGAAAAAGTTGATTGGTTGTCAAGTCTTTCCAAGCTTTCTTATCTTGACTTGGGCAACACTTGGTCACTTGGAAGAGGTATGCCAATTCCTTCTTTTCTTGGCTCAATGACCAACTTAATTCACTTGGATCTTTCTCATTCTGGATTTAGGGGCAACATTCCTCCCCAGATTGGTAATCTTTCCAATCTGGCGTATCTAGACTTACGTTATGTTGTCAATGGAACTATTCCCTTTCAAATTGGAAATCTCTCCAACTTGCTTTTCCTCAATCTTCGAAGTGATTATTATATTGACCAAACTTTGTTTGTTGAAAATGATGACTGGTGGTCAAGTCTTTCAAAACTTGAATATCTTGATTTGGGAGGTGCAAACCTATCTGAATCAGTTCAATTGCTTCACACCCTTCAAGTTCTTTCTTCTTTGAAGCACTTACATTTGTCAGAATGTACATTCTCTTCGTATAATCAACCATCCTTTGTTAACTTATCGTCTCTCCTCACTCTTGATATTTCCTATATTTCTCATCATTCTATAATTTCTTTAATTCCCGATGGTCTTAGAAACCTTACACTCCTTGAAAATCTTAATTTGCATGGAAATTCATTATCATCTTCTATACCTCATTGGCTTTTTGGTGCTCTTTCTCATCTCAAGTTCTTGGACCTATCCTATAACAACTTACAAGGAGTTATTCCTGATGTCTTAGGGAACTTGACTTCTCTAATTGCACTTTATATGGTAGGCAATCAACTCAAAGGTCCAATCCCAAGTTCTTTAGGAAAGGTGACCTCTCTAGTTAGACTTGATTTATCACACAATCAACTTTCAGGCAATCTAACACTAGATTATTATGACAACAAAGTTGATGGTGAACATCCAAAATCAGTTGGAAAACTTTCATCATTGAGAGTTCTTAGCTTGTCCTCAAATCAACTTGGTGGAAATCCATTTAAAAGTCTTGGATCACTCTCTAAGTTGTTATACCTTGAAATTGATGACAATCATTTTCAAGGAGTTGTAACTGAAAGTCATCTTGAAAATCTTACAAGCTTGAAAGAGTTTTATGCATCAGGAAACAAATTGACTTTAAAAGTGGGTCGTCATTGGCATCCTACTTTCAAACTTACCCATTTGGATATGAGCTGTTGGCAATTAGGTCCCAACTTTCCATCATGGACTCACTCACAAAATAAACTTCAACATTTGGTGATGTCGAATTCAGGGATTCTAGATTATATTCCCCATTACTTCTGGGAGGCTTGTTATTCGCTTGAATATTTAAACCTCTCTAATAATCATATTCATGGTAAGATTGAAAATTCATTG